AAGACTTTGAGATCTGGTGTGAAGTTTACACTCAGAACCGTTAACCTTGGGCAGGTCCCCATGCTTCCCCACGGGTTGGTTTTCTCATCTGTGAATCTGGGTAACGACCTTACCAGGCTGTCGTGAGAACCAAAAGAGAAGAATGAGCCTCCAGAGGTTCGTGGGGTCCTGGACAAGGACCCGCTCGGCGACCCTAGGGGTGAACGGCTTACACCACAGAAGGCAGGCTCACTTCCTTAAGCTTCTTTCCCTCACTGGTTTGAACTTTGGTTGACCTGTCATCCCCCACGATGGGTCGAGGCTGTAGGTGGAACAGAAACTACCCCCAAAGGGTCAGGCCCAGTCTCTGCCAGAGCAGTCACAGTGTCAACCCCATTTTGTTTAAATAACTTCCACTTTCGCTGGGCGGAGCTTGGCAGGCACGCTGCCCTCTGGGGTGAGGGCCGGAGCAGAAGGGAGGCAGGAGACAGAGCAGGGAGAAGAGGGAGGAGAAAGTAGGACAGAGGAGGAAACAGAGATACAGGGTGGTCAGGAAGGAGGGGAAGGGAAAGACTGGGGCAGGGCGGGGGACAAGAAGACTGAGATCCCTGAGATCCGAGATCCGCGAGATCCCTTTAGACAGAACCCCTGGCAAGTGTAGCTACCTGTTTGTTACAAAAGGCTTACTCTTCAAAGGCATTAGGTTTGTGAAGTATGTGTCATGGAGTTTTAGAGCCAGTTCCTCTCCTGGGAGAGCTGTAGGCGGCGAGAAGTCAGCCGTTACAGCATGTTTCCTTCATCTTTTGGTGAACCTGCGAACTGTGTTCTATTTCATTCGTGGTTAATGTGCTTAGATTGGTTCCTGGAGCCACAGACCATAAAAGGAGAGTGCACAAGATTAGACTCTGTCACGAAACTGAAGAGTCATAGAATCAAAGACCTTATTCCACACAGTAGTTTCTTTACCAGCATATTTGGCAAATGGTTCCCCAGGTCCAGTCGGGGCCCCCCTATGGGCAGAGCTCACACACACACAATCAGACCATCTTTTACTGAATAACTCCGGGGGCTATGAGGTTGTCTCACTCTTGTGTTGCGCTACACTTTGTCTTCTGGTGACTTTCACACGTAGGGCCCAACACCACCTGCCAAGGTCACTGGCAAGTGAATGAATGACTGTTTCTGAAGGTCAGACCTCAGACCCTGGCTAGTCTGGCTAGTCCCTTAAATTGTTCTTCATTCTGATGATTTCAGACCCTTCCCCATTTTGAATGACTCCTTTGGGGCAGGACATCCTTGTAAATGCTCTTCTATAATCCAGCTGCCCAGAACAATATCTAACCCTGTAGTGAACAATTTCCAAAACACAGTAAGGTAACAAGGACTGCTCTCCCATCCCAACACAGAGTTTAAAGACTTACAGGTTTAACCCGAAGATGATAACCCAGTGGGGCTCAGACCTGCCTCAAAGGAAGGGAGACTCGGACTCTGTGACAGTGAGGGCGAGCGGCAGTGGTAGTTCATGGGCCTCTAAGTCCTGCCTGTACCTGGCCGCTGGGGGCTGAGGCGCTGCAGGGTCCCTTGCAAGGACAGGAGACTTGGCCTTGGTGTCGTGGGAGGTAGAACTTGCAAAAGAGGTCACCTTCATAAAAAGCTGGATCCTCTAACAAGTGTAAAGTCTATGACAAAAAGCCAAGAAAACCCTGCCGCAAGCCTTAGGAAGCCATGAGAAAGCTTGCTAGGGATTTGGGTAAAATGAAAAAAAAATGTATATATATGTGTGTCTGTATGTATATACACACACACAGAAGAGAGATTACCCCCAGGTCTGCGATATGTACTGGCTAGAGGCCTTGCCATTTGTCGTCCGTCTAGACTATGAGACACGTACTGAGGAATGACGTAAGAGCTCGTCCGGGGCCACTGGCATTCCAAAGAAGTTGCCAGAAGCAAATGCAAAACGGTTCTCCATAAATTTCCCCTAAGGTCTAGGTCAGATGGGACTGTCACGGGGAAACAATTATAAAACATCAGTGAAACTTCATACGATGAGGAGGACATAAGACATACATGTTACTTGTCAGCAGATACAATAAGAAAATTCACATCCCAAAATTGCAGATAGCAAAATAAGGTAAAAGACATAATAAAACAAGTATGCCAAAAATGTTAAATGAGGTAAGAAAAGGGGTGTGTGTGTGTAGAAATCCTCGTGAAAAGAACAGCATGCTAAAAACAGGAGGATTTTCTTAAAAAATCATATAAATCTTTTAGGACTTAGCAACTAGTCTCCAGTATGAGCACGTCCACGGAAAGGTTGACAGCTGAACAGAGATGGTTGAGTTAGTGAAGTAGAAGGTGGCTCCCCAGAAAGGACCCAGATGTGCATGAAGAGAGAGACAAGGAAGGAAAGAAAAACCAGAGCTGAAGAGATGCAGGGAGAGTCAGGAACGCCAGCCTGTAAGGCTGTGGAGAGGCACCTCTGGAAAAGATAATAAAGGAGAGTATTAGAAACTAAAGAAATAGATGAAAGTGTCACTTAAAGAAGCACACGTACTGCCAAGCTGACGGCCCTGAACCGTTTTCAGTGTGGGGTCCTTGCAGATACCACTGCTGTGCACTCGTGTCCGTGTGCACGTGTGTCAGGGGGCACGTGTGTTGGTGTGCACAGGAGCGCATGCTCGCGGGGGTGGGCGTGCACGGTGCCCGTAAGGTCACCGTTCACTGTGCCTTTGCACACCCGATGTGAGGCTCTTTGAACTTAATTTGTGGTTTTGTGACCCTGCTGTATGACTGCAGCACACAGAGCCCAACTCTTTGCCTGGGGAGCATGTCAGGAGAACACGCGTGAGGCGCCCACTTCCCCCCGCTCCCACTGTCTCCTTGGTGCTGGTCACTGCGGTGTCACCTCGATGAGCACTGAGCAGTGGAATCACGCACTTCTGCGCTAATTTCCTCTTCCATTCTCCCTGACCACCTTCTCTGCCTCTGTGTCTCTTGGGCTCACATCTGTATTCACATTCCCGTGTTAGGTTTGACTCTCCCAGGACAGCACGGTTCCTGAGTATCTTCGGGCGGAAGCTCCCACACTCCCTCACCCTAACCTATGACTTCGTCCCTCACCACACCTCCCCAGCACATTCAGGGATTCCCCGGGGATAATATGAGGAAGGTGCAAAGTACGGGTCAAAGAACACGATATTTGGGAAGAAGACACCTGAGTTGTGGTCCTAGAGTCAATATTTATGAGCTGGTGAAAGGCAGTGAAAATCTCTTTTGTGAAAATCATTTTGCCCAGCAATAAAATGTGCATTAATACCACCTATCTTCATTTTTTGGAAAAATATTTGAGTGCCTAAACTGTCCCAGGGAAGACTCTAGATGCTGAAGACAGCAGAGAACAAAACCAATAAGAGACCTTTTGGGGTCTTTACCAGGATTAAATAAGATACTGCTGCAAAGAGCTTAGAATGCTTGCAGGCTTAGAAAATGTGCTTAGCAATATTTTTGCATAATATATACTGAGTATCTACAATGTTGCAGTCAGTATTGTAGCCCCTGAAGATACAGTATTGAGCAACACCAGGGGCCAGAGGTGAGAGCATGAACAAGCAAAATAGATGAGTTCTCTAATTTCAGAAAGCCCTGTGCTTGTCCCATTCAGGTGCAATCAGTTGGTGCAAACAGAAGCTCCTGGAGATCGATGGGGAAGTTTTATTTCAGAAACTTAAGCCAAGGCAGCCACTTGAACAGTAATGCCGGGTGTGGAGGGACAGGTGAGGAAAGCCACCCGCCGCGCTGTGACGTGGCCCAGGGTGCACAGGAAACCCCGCCTGAAGCCTGCAGGTTTACCAGCCGTGCTCGGGCGCATCTCTTCCTCCCCTAGGAAAGGGGTTCTGGTAAAGCCCTCAGATCCTGGGCTTCTGATAATGACTCCATAACTAGTCTTCTTTGTGGCTGTTGTTAGTCAAATCATCTGTAATTCTCTGATTCTACTCCAAACTTACTCCAATCTTAGACATTTCTACTCCCTTCTCCAGCTGTGATGTCCTAGGGTTACACACCCACAAGGTGGGAAGAAACCGCTGGAGTCCTGTCATTGCTCCACCTCCAGAAGGCGGCCCTGAGGAGAAGAGGTTCTGCACCGGGCGTTAGCAGATGGCGACTGGAGTGCTGGCCCGCGTCCACTTTGGCCGGTCTGCTTACTGACCCACTGCAGGTAATGATCCCGCTAGCAGTTGTGATGGGGAGTAAGCCAAATGGGCTATGTGAAAGCACTTTGGGAATCCAGAATGTTCTAGAAGTGAGGGCAGGATTGATCCAGGGGCATGTATGGCAGCCAGCTCCTGGCATTGGGGGAGCGCTCTGACCCCTTCTCCGAGGGACACCTGTGCCCTGCTTTTGTGACCCCACCGTGTGGGACCTAGCCTTGCTCCTCGCATCCTTTGACTCAGTGAGTCTCCTCCTGAAGGAAGTGGCTAAAGTTGTCATGGCTAAAAGTATCTGATTCAACCGACCTTTGGAAAATTCGTTGGTGTATCTCCATAACCCCAGTATCTGAAGGTTATACTCCCTGGCTTTTGTTTCTGATTAGAAACAAACAAACAAACAACAACAACAACAAAACCAGTTGTCTTTAGTCTGAAAGGATGTTATCAGGAAATTTCAGGATGCGATCAACTAAACAGAACTTTCCAAGTTTTACAGGAAGTGGGACATTTGGAAAACGCCAGTGAGGCCCTGAGCTGTGATTGAGCTGTGATTCGGACACTTGTTCTTTGGACTTCTGCCCCCCAGCTCACTCCCACCCAGGCCTCCAGCAATTTTCATATCTTAATTTAATCATTAACTGGTAGCAAAAAAATTTTTCTGTGTGATCTCAAACTGTTTTGGGGCCACGCTGAGCACACAGAGGAGGACCAGACACAGCCTCTCCTCCCCAAGGACTCTCCCTGCACTCTGGTGGGGACTGGAGAGGGCTGGTAGAGACAGAGCTTGCCTGCCATTGCAATTACCAACTGATGTGTGCAGGGGTGCGGGTGGGGGGTGATGAAGCTGGCAGCATGGGAGGAATCGTGTTAGGGCTGACCTGTCTGCCTTTGTTCATGCAGGGAGATCTGGGAGGACCCCCTGAGAAAATGACGTTTGAGCAGAGATCTGGGTAGGAATAACTAGACTTCAGAAGCGGGTGAGGGGAGGAGAGTCTCTAAAGCTTTCCAAGCAGAGGGAACTTTGTGCAAAGATGTCGGGTAGGAAGAAGCTTTGCATGTTGGAGGAACTGAAAGCCTGGTGGCTAGGCTAAGGCACAGAGCAAGAGAGACTAGGGTGGGAGGGAGACAGAAGGGGGACCAAGGTCAGGTCAGGCCAGGCATCAGCCCTTAGGCCCGTCAACCTCTGTGGTCTCTATCCTGAGAAACCCGTGTCAGAAGATGTGGCAGGTTAGGGCAGCGGAGGAGGTGGAAATGTAGAGAAGGGGGACACACTGGAGAGATGTTTCCAAAGAGGTACTCTAGAGGAGTTGCCCAGGATTTGGATAAAAGAAGTGCTGGGAAGGGAGGTATCAGGGTGCCGTCCAGGTTCTGACCTGCCAGAGAGGGGCACTGGCCGTTCTGAGCCACGCTGTCTGGGTGCTCATCCTCAGTGTGAGCCCTGGGGCTGCCTGTCCGGGTGCACACCAGAGTGTGGTCTAGTTTCCCGGAGCAGACGCTCACATCTGGAGAGTGAGTGGGGAGCTGCAGGAGACAGGGAGCTCGGAGAGAGGCATCGGGGCTGAGCAGGGGCGAGTGGGAGGTGTACCAGGAGATGCGGGAGGAGAAAGAGAGGCTGGGGACACCAAGGGGGATGACGGTCAAAGGTTGGAGGTCAGGGTGTCTGTGGGGTCAGGGGGTTCAGAGATTAGAGGAGGAGGATGGGGGAGGGAATATCAGAGGTTGGAGGGGGAAATGGGGGCGGGAAGTCAGAGACTGGAGGGGGACAATGGGGCGGGGGATCAGACTTGTGGGGGGGGGGAGGGGGGGGGGGGCGGGGTATCAGATTGGAGTGGGGAGGATAGGGAGGGTCCAGGAAGGACTGAGACAGTTTTGGGGGGAGGAGGATCAGAGATGCGAGAGGACGGGGCAGACGGAGGTGGGAGGGTCAGGGGACAGGGGCTGGGCGACCAGAGATCCACAGGCTGGCAGACAGGCGGGACCTTTCCGAGTCCGACCCCGGCGCCCTCAGGTGGCCTCAGTCCCCGCCGCTCCGGGGGCTCCCCCAGGTTCCGGGAAGTCCTGGGGATCCGTGGGGCAGCGCGCGCCGGGGGCGCCGGAGACGGACGGTCCCGGCGCCCCCCGCGGGACGCCGCCGGCGCCCCCGCGCGCGGGGAGCGGCCCCCGGTCCGGAGCCCGTGTGGCTGGTGGCTGCTGTTTGTTTGGTCGCTGCCGCTGGCCTCTGGCGAGCTGTGCGCCCCGCTGGCGCGCGGCCGGCTGCAGTGCCTGCAGGTGTCGGTGTTCGCCAACAGCAGCTGGGCGCGCACCGATGGCCTGGCGCGGCTCGGGGAGCTGCAGGCCTATAGCTGGAGCAATGGCTCGGACGCCATCCGCTTCCTCAGGCCCTGGGCGCGGAGCGGGTTCAGCGAGCCGCAGTGGGACCGGCTGCAGCAGATACTTCGGGTGTACCGCCGGAGCTTCACCAGGGACGTGCGAGAATTCGTCAAGATGCTGCGGCTGGACTGTGAGCTGGGGGTGGGACCCTGGGCCCGGCGGGCGTTCTGCCTCCCCCTCCGAGACGCCGGGCTCGCGTCCGCGTCTCCGGATCCCCGCTTCTGTCCGGGGCGCTCCCCACCCCTGACCCCGCACACTGCCCCTGTTCCTCCTGCCGCTGGTCCCCCACTCCTTTCCCGGGACTCTGCGTCCCCACTAGAGCTCTGACATGCATTTTTCCTCCTCGGTCCCTTCTAATCCGTTGGGCCCTTCTTTGGTCTTTGTCCTGTCCTTTTCTCAGATCCCTTTGAGATCCAGCTGTCTGCTGGATGCGAGCTGTGCCCCGGGAACACCTCGGAAAGCTTCTTCCATGTGGCATTTCAAGGAAAAGAGATCATGAGTTTCCAAGGAACTCATTGGGTGCCAGCCCCCGATGCCCCCTCTTGGGCAGGCAGGGCCACCAAAGAGCTCAATCAGGACCAGGGGACCAGAAAGACCCTTCAGTGGTTCTTAAATGACACCTGCCCGCAGTTTGTCAGAGGCCTCCTGGAGGCAGGGAAGTCGGAGCTGGAGAAGCAAGGTGAGCCTGCCTCTCTCACCCCTGCCCTCCACTCCAGCGCTCCAGCTGGTGCTCCCCCTTCTGACTTCACAGCCCTTGGATCATCCTGGGGCCAGAACAGCTAAGGAAGGCATGGGTGAGGACTGAGGGTCATCCCACAGACATTAACGGAGCACCCACTGGGTTCCATGAACTGAATTAAATAAACACTGGGTCAAACAGGGTCTCTGCTGAGGGGAGGATGGGAACGCAGGGGAACAGTTACAGGCATGTTTGAAACCCTTACAGGAGAACACAGGGCACTCCAGGGGTCCAAGCAGATGCACTCACGGGAGCCTGGGATGGGGCGAGCGTCAGGGAAGGCTTTCCTGCAGAAGCCAAGGCGAATGGACAGTCATGAGCTCCATCTCCAGAGGGGGAAATGTGGGCTGCAGAGTTCTTGCCTTGACACCCCCCACTTCCTTATCGGACACAGTGAAGCCCGAGGCCTGGCTGGCCACTGGCCCCCATCCCGGTCCCGGCCGTCTGCTGCTGGTGTGTCACGTCTCTGGCTTCCACCCGAAGCCCGTGTGGGTGATGTGGATGCGGGGTGAGCAGGAGCAACAGGGCACCCAGCGAGACGACGTCCTGCCCCATGCTGATGGGACGTGGTATCTCCGAGTGACCCTGGATGTGGAGGCCCGGGAGGCGGCCAGTCTGTCCTGCCGAGTGAGACACAGCAGTCTGGGAGGCCAGGACATCATCCTCCACTGGGGTGAGAAAGAGCTGGGGCCTGTCTGGCCATGGCAGACGTGGTCCACAAGCATAGAAGGAGGCACTGGCCATGGGGTGGGTTTGGACACACAAAGGATAGAAAAGTTTCCAAAATGCCCCCCCCCCCCCCCGCAAACCAGGAGGGTTAGAAGAGGGAGTTTCAGATACTGGAAGGAGGGGGATGAAGTCTGAACTCAGAAAGGGTTGAGATAAACGACCCATATATAAGAAAAAATAGACCCAAGAGTTCACAGGTCTGGAAGCTGCTGGTAAATAAATAGTCCCCAGAGAGGTCACGGCCCATAGGAGGGCACCATGGATTGTGGAAAGGCCGAGGCTGGGGGCCGGGGGAGCAAGGTAGTTGCCGGATCTTAAGTGCTTCTTGATTGCCCAGCATGGAGTCTACTTGTCCCCGGCTCCTCTGGAACAGGTGCCATCCTCCTCATTTTATTGTCGAAGACACAGAGACGGAGCGAGGTCAGGCTCAGGGCTCTTGGTCTCATGGGTGGTGGAGAGGGGAGGAGCTGGATCCAGGCTCAAGTCCCCGTGGATACCTGGTTGTCCTTCCTGTGTGTGCTATACCACTGTGTGCAGAAGTGAAGGGGCCCCGGCCCCCAAGCCCTGAGACAAGAGGGGGCCTTGAGACCGCCGAGGAATGGGAGGGGACGCTCCATGTGCGGGAGGCAGTGAGAGGCACCCGTGGCACCCTCCCATAGGCTTAGACCGTGGCTGGGACTAGGGAGGGTCCTGGGCTGACAGCCTGTGTTCTGCGCGCAGAGGGGAGCCACTCCTCCACGTGGCTGATCCCGGTGGCCATACTGGGGTCCCTCCTGATGAGTGGATGCGTTGGATGCTTAGTCCTCTGGTGCAGGAAGCGCGGGTAGGTCTCTCCTTCCCAACCACTCCTACCTTCAGCCTCTCCCCATTTCCTCATCCCTCCAGGCCCTCTCCCTTTTCCCTTAACATTCTCTCCCTTCCTACATCCTCTCAGCTCCTATCAAGGCATCCTGTGACTGTGGTCGCTGCACCTGTCTTTCTGGGACTCAGGACCCCAACTGCCCAGGTTGTCAGCTCAGCAGCTGAGGTTGAAAGGAGAGGTGCCTTGAAGAAGCAGAGAACACAGGGCAGCTCTCATTACATCCTTTAAACATTTTATCTAAGATGACTGAAGTTCTTTTTCTGTATACTGCAAGTTTATAAACTCCTATGGTTCTATAAAAATAGACGTGCAAATGTCCAGGGACAGGCAGATACAGGCTGGGGTGTAATGTCGTGTGTGGTCACCGTGTGGATGGTATGATCTGCAGTGAGCTGGGAAGTGCTTGCTCCTGGGGAAGCAGGTCCAGCTGTTGCCAACAGTAGAGGAAGAACTACCAACAAAATGAAGGAGTTTCTAAAAATAGGACCCTGGCTTGGCTGTGGCCTACATTTTTCAAGAGAAGCAGACGCCTGGATTTTCGTGTGAGCCTGCCTGATATAGGAATGTGCACTGAAGCTTTTACAAAATGTTTGGGACACCCCAGATACATCTCTGTTTCTTGATGGCAATGTGGGGGCTTCTTGGATAAAAGTTTGGCCTAAATGACAAATTGGTAGTTTTAGGGCAGGGTTTCTTTTGTGAATTTGGATTTATAAAGGGGGACATTTTCTTCTTTAAAAGAAAGTTAAGTTGTAAGGAACAGATGTTTCTTCAGATTTTATTTGGCGTAACTGATTTATAAGGAGAAATCATAATGTATGTCTATTAGAGAGGAAAATAGTTACTCTGGGTAGGGGTGTTTCCAGTGACCAGTTGCTTTTTTCACATCGGAGGAGGACAGTCATAAGGTGTCTCTGCAAACAGGCCCCCCCCACTTACAGCTCTTAAGTGGGACAATGCTCGGGAAGGGGTGAAGCCACTTGGGCAGCTGTGGGCTGCGCAGACCAGCACCGGCCGTCTGCCCTGTTCCTAGTTAATGATCCTTGAACATCCAGAAAACATGGGACTAAACCTTCAGAGAGTCTTTGCTTGAGAAAATTAAGATTTGGCCTCACTGGTCGAGCCTCGGGTGTGGGTGAAGATCTTGCCAGTTCCTGAACCGGTGGTTCCCAACTGTGACGTCCTGACCAGCAGCCTCAGCACCACTGGGAACTGGCACATAGTCTGGACCCCGTCTCAGACTTCCTAAATGAGAAATGGGAGTGGGGTCCCGTGTGACCTGTCTGGAGTTTCAGCCGCTGTGCTTTGGGTCATGCTGTGCTACAGATTCCTCAGAATGGTAAGTGAAAATAATGGCCTGGGTTATTCAGGGAAGGCTTTCTGGAAGGGGCATCTGACCCAGGACTTGCACAGGTAGTGAGGAAACCAGTGCACTGGGTCCGGACACCAGAGTTCTGGCCTCGGAGTCAGTGTCCTCCTGCGTCTAGTGGAACCAGGCAGCAGATCCTCAGTCCGGCATGAACCTGCTGGTGCCTCGGTCTTGGATGGCCTCCAGACCCGTGAACTGGGAGTGATGCATTTCCATTGCTCTTCAGCCACTCCTTGGACGGCGTTTTGTCAACGCAGCCTGCACGGCCTGAGACGATGATCTCACAGAGGGTAGGGAGCACATGTGTGCCTGTGTGTGGTTGTCTGCAATGCCTTCAAACCATGGGCCTCTTACTGTCTTTGGCGTCTCCCCCCCTCACCCCCCAAGCCATGCTGTTCAGCTTAGCTTCCTCCAGCAGCATCCGGGCTATGAACCCGACCCGACAGGCTGTGTTCCTAGGGCGAGAGTGGTAAACGCCCTTCTGAAATTGTTTTGGAAATGCTTCAGCATGGACTTACAGAAACTCTGGTTTTTTTTTAAAGAAATTGATTTATTTTGGAAATAAAGTCCTGTCTCTGGGAAAATCTGTCTTGTCTTCAATTCCTCAGCCCAGAACATCTCAGGAAGCCCCGAGAATTCATTTTAGACTGTTGACACTCTCTTCGTCCATATCTCTTCGTTATTTAGGGCTAGGCTGCTTGTCCCTGTGCTCCAGATTCGTCCTTCTGTGCTTGGTGACAGGTGACAGTGGGTGGAATTCCCCCGATCACTTCTTTAAAGTTAGCATAGCTTTAAGCTTTTTCGGTTGAGGGCCCTAGAGAGACACTGCGGGAGGAAGGGGCTCTGCTGCAGTTTCCAGCTACGGCGTGACCGTGGCTGGGCGTGGCGGGTCTGCAGAGTGGGCACAGAGGCACCCGGTGCACTGTGGTCCCAGCCATGTGCCCAGAGCTCACAGACCCTGGTGACCTTGCAGCTTCAGCCTGGCCATAGCCTTCCCGTGCCCTGTTGATAGGGACACTGGCTCCTGCTCCTGTTGGTGCCCCTTCCCTCGGCAGGACCCTCATGTCGCCTGCGCTTGGTCCACCTGGCACCTGGAGGTTTCCCCTGAGTGCAGTCCCCAGGCTGAGGTCTGCAGAATTGCTTCCAGCTCGTCCAGTGACTGCAGGCCAGCGCTGGCCTGGACAAGCCCACAAACGTCTCTGCTACACCTTCTCCGATGAGGTGTGCACCCCAGCCTTGGGGAAGGGTTACCTTTCCAGGCATGTTCCTCCTTGCATGTTCTCCCCCGGCCCTGGAGTTTTATAGAATTTTGTTTTATTTTCATTATTATCTTATCATAGTTCACGAATTCTACTCAACCTCCTCTGCTTAGCTTATTGTTTGGTTTCTGCTTCCTAATAGGACCTAGGTAGATGCACATGGGTGCGTCTGTGACCCTCCAGAGGCACTGATGAGTTTTACGGGGCTGTCACTCAAGTTTACTTTTGCTCTCAAGTCTGTGGTATTGGGTTGATCCCCTTTGCTGTGAGCTGTAGCTTTTTCTCCCAGAACTTTGACTTGATGTTCTTTGCCAGACCATCCTCAGAAGTTTAGGGTGCAATTGAGAGGGGGCTCTCCATAAGCCAGGACAGGTGTAACCTGGGACAGACGCTCTGGTGACTGTTTGCGGTTTGTGCTCAGCTGGGGCTCCGTCCTGGCTGCTGTGCCCCTGCTCCTGGGCCAGGCCTGTGCTCCGAGACCAGGCATACCTTTCCACACCACTGCCGCTTCCCCGGCTCTCCCATCCCTTCGGTCTTCCCTTGGCTTCTGGGTTCAGTGTGGCTCCTGCTCAGTGATGCGGCATGAAGAGGCTGGACCCTCTTCATCTTCTTTTTCTGAACTCAGGCTGGGTTTTCCTTTTGCTGATTCTTTTGAACCATCCCTAGAGTGGCTCTTCCACATTTTTGTGCCCTGGCTTTTCACCCTGCATCGAGCCATTTTTCCTATTCTCTTGTCAAAGTCGGGATTACCCAAAACAATTTCCACATCTTCCTCCTTCCTGGCTCACAGGGGGAGTGATTTTCTGCTCATCCCGTTCTACAGGGAGATGTCTGTCTTTGCTAAGCCAGACCCTTCCATCTGGGGTTTGCTTGGCACAGCCCTGGGGCTCACGCCCGGTGTCTTGCCACCCACAGTTTCCCCCCATTTAGCACACTACTGTTCACAGACAGCCGGTGACGTTTACAATACAAACACAAAATTGTTGCCTGTGGGTAAAAGCTCCTCTTTTTGAGAAATCTTGAAGTTCTGTATCTGGATAATATTTAGCATTTTAACATATGTCTGTATCCTTTCCTTGATACTTTGTTTTTCATTCTTATCCATGTAACATATGCACGCATTTCTGTGTGCCTCGGGGGAAGAATGTGGCAGGACAGAAAGCAGAATCTCTAGGTTATGTTCCCGAATGTTCTAGGTTATGTTCCCGAATGTTCTAGGTTATGTTCCCGAATGTTTGGTGATGGCAGACAGAACAGGATGTCAAGCCTAAACAGAACATCCTCACGAAACGAGATCTTCCTACGTCAGAGCACAGTGTTTCTCCTGGGCAGAGAGGTATGTAGGGGCTCTCAATGCAGACAACACCTGTTCCCTCACGCCCAGCAGCATTCCCAGGGAGGCAGCAGCTCCCAGCAGGAATGCCTGGGTGGCACTCCTGGGCAGCGGAGCAGGGAAAGCCGAACAAAACTTCATGCTCATGGTTGTGGCACAGAAATGTCAGAGTGTGCACTGGGTCTGCGAGGCTGCGCAGGAAGCGAGGTGAATATCTGAGCAGTAACCTGTGGACGAGCACCAAGGGCTGTTGGATTAGAGTTAGGACTCCAGGGACTGGGGCAGAAACTGGGGAAAGTTATGGTTACACCTCCCTGACCACAGAGTAGAACGATGCTCAGACTTAGAAGTTAGAGGTTAACCAATAGAAACTGAAGAAAGTGCTATTTCTTGCCCACTGAACTTACAGTCTAAGATTTACACCTGTTACCTGCGGGTTGCTACGTCCTGTATAAATGATAGCCCTCAGCACTGGAGCCCGTGCATGTTGAGATGCTCGCTGGGACTGTGCTAGAAAATGTATTGCGATGCATCGTTGGCAAGTGGATACATGGTGATGTCAGGTAGAAGAAACAGAGGGTCAAAGTAGCCTTGTTAGAACTTCCTGAGATGATTAACTTCCGTGAGTTCCAGAAATACAGCTCAAAATGAGGGAATTGGGAAATTACATCTGTGGCTTGTATCTCGGTTTCTAGATTTCAACAGCAGTGACCACATCAACCCTAGCCTAACAGCTCCATGACAGTCCTGGCCTGGGGAGCTCCATCTTAGAAATATAAGTCTGACTCCCAGGGAACACATTTTGCAAGGTACAAAGTTGCATGTTCTGTGCTGCATTTCAGACTTCAGAGTCCTGGTGCTTCCAAAAGAGAGAGAGGAAGTGTAGTTGGTTTCTCGCCAGGTGATCCAGGCCTTGCCCGGTGAGCCATCCTGAGCCTTGACAGTTGAGATGTCTTACTGGCTTGATGGCCTTTGGAAAAGTCCTCTTGTCTTGGGCCTGAAAGCCAACTGCCAAGGCAGAGGGACCCTTGTGTCCCCTACAGATGTGACAAAAAGAACTAAACTTAGCTCTTTCCACAGGTGATAAGGCCATGTACCTGGAAAACCCAAGCAACCGTATTTGATAAAGCAAATAACAACTTGAATTTGAACAGGAAATAACAACTTGAATTTTTGTCATGTGGACAAGGTAAGTGTGTGAAAATCAAAGCTATTCTCTCTATTAACAACAATCAATTAGAATTGAAAATGTGAATAAATAGTCCATTCAAAAAAAGTGGCAGAAATATGAAATTCTTAGGAAGGAATTTCACAAGAATGGTACATACCCCAAATGAAGAAAAGCAGAGTCTTCCGAAGGGCAAAAGATGTGTTCTGAATTAATGGAAAGATGTGGCCTATTCTTGGTTTAGAATAGTTAATATAATCAAATATCAACCCCTAAGATGTGTAAATTAAATGAAATTATAAGTATTAAAATGGCCAAAAATGTGAAAAAAAAATAATGGTGTGGGTATGGGATCTGCCATACTGAATATTAAAACCTAGAGGCACTGTCCCCAAAATTCTATGGTAGAGGGCAGTGGGGATGGCACAGGGAGGGACAAGACAGACATTGACTGGACAAACTTGCAGAGAGTAGCAGATAAGTCCTGGGGATTCTAATGTACAGGAGAGGGAATACAGAGCCACCCAACTTGCTGAGAGACCAAATTTTAATGATCCCAACCCCTAGAAAACAATCATTATGTGATAAGAGAGAGGCGGTGATTACTGCTATGTCGGCAATCATGTTACAATGTAGAAATGTATCAGATTCACATGTTGTATACCTTAAATGTACACAGTGTTATGTGCTAGACGTATGGCAATGGAAATAAAATAAATTAAAAGCTAAGAAGAAAGTAGTGTGGTAATAGAACTGAAGGTAGGGGATAGAGTGATTTCGTATCACTGCAGAAGAATAACCAATGAGGGGCTGGCTCTCCATCCAGGGAAAAAATATTTGAAATCTACCTGACAGCATTAATAAATTCCAGATATATTAAGTTTCGGAGTTTTTTTTTTTTTTTTTTTTTACCAAAATAGGAATTCGGAAACTATAAAATAAAATAATACATGTTAAAAAATTTAAATTTTGCATGGCAATAGATAACATCATCGACCCTAGATTGGGGAAAATTTCAGATAGCTCGAGCTAGTATTAATAATGAGAAACGTCTCTTCGTCATTTATAAGAACAAGCTCAGCACTCAGAGAGCAACGGCAAAGACTGAACAGAAAACTCAAAAGAACAAATCCAGGTTGGCTAAGAAACAAGAAAAGATAATTATCGTCCTTAGTAATCATGGAAAGGCAAATTACAGCAACAGGAGACACCGTTCTTACCAGGTGGGCAACAAGAAGGGAGAAAAATACAGGATTTTTCCAAACAGACTTGGGGAAAGTGACTTGACAGACTCTCTTCACATGAAAAACCGACAGACCTCTCAACTCAGACATTCTCCTCTTGAGGCTGTATTTTGGGGCAATAAAGGCACGAGAATGTGAGACCGTGCCTGCGAGGCTGTGGTCCTTCAAGTAAGGATGTAGGAGAGCCCGTATTTCACAAGGACGAAAACCTGTGAACAAACATCGACTAGGACTCGCTCTAGTTGCTTGAGGCAGGAACAGCCCAAATAACAGACTAACATGGCTGAAACAAACTACAAGTTTACTCCTCTCACTGGATGGACACCCAGAGGAAGGCGTTCACAAGTGGATCCGTGAAGGGAACAGGGACCCGCGTTCCTTCCTGCTCCCCGCGGCTGCTCACGGTCAGGCTTCTGCATGAAACGCCACCGTTTTATCCATCAGGACAGCGTTGGGGGCAGGATCTGGGAAGGAGACGTCTCCCTTCTTCGCACCTTACAGTGACTTCTCAGAAGAAGGACACAGCCAGCAGAGCCTTTCTCCGTACGTATTCCCCCGTGGGACAGGTGCGTTTTGTTGGTGATAACGTGCCCGCTCCATGTCAAGTGATTTGGGGAGGCACCTGCCGTCTCTGCAGCACAGACCAGAGCAGGGGACTGCCACCGACGGAAGTGATGAGGTCTGTGACAGCTGGAGGGGCCACGGCAGCTTTACGAAGTTTTCAGAATCCATAAGCGACTTATTTCTCTTAAATTTATCTTTCCTTGATTCACAAGGATGGTGATTAACACAGAAGTGTGGTTTAAGAGAACCCTTAAAAGCTAAAACATGAAATGATCAATATTGCGTTTTTGTGCATGTGTCAGATTTTCCTTCCCTAAAGGGAGCCTAAAGTATTGTCATACTTACGGTCGAGGGCATCCTAGTATGATGAAATATGAAAATAATTAAAATTAACCTGGGAAAGGCTGAAGCAACAGGAAGACAACAGGTGGTCCATGACTCTGGTGTCTTACTTGCCAGAGATGGTGCACGGTCTTTACTCTTGGTCGTCACCCCCAAACAAGAGCGACACGAGAGCCCTAAATGTGGGCTTCCTGGGCCACGTGGGAAACTCTGTGATCCTTTCAAGGCTTTCTTTGAGTGTTCGGCAGGAGGAGGGGTGGACCTTTGTCAGCGTGAATTGTGACCCTGGCTTTTCACCTTTCATCTAACCATGTTTCCTGGGGTAACAGGCCTGAGGGCTCTGACCGAGGCCCCAGGGCCTGCTGCACATTGTCTCCTGCCTGCCACTCTGCCCAGTAAGTGTATCCTCCAGGGGGCCTATGAGCTCCCGGCATATTGTCAGCCCAGGGACACTGCCTGGCCCCCTACTCATCCCGCCCCTGGCTGTGCGCAGAGACTCCTCAAGCCCTGGGCGGGGGTGGCTGACTCAGCCTGCGTGTGTTCCCTCTCTCAGACACAGGCTGACCTGTTCTGCCTAACGTCCAATGTCTGTGCCATATGCACTGTCCGTGCCTCTACCTGGGTCAGGCACGGGGTAAGTGGGCTCTGCTTTTCTGTCTTGTGGGGAGAGGAGGTCCTTTCATGTGATCTTTGGAAGGCAGAAAGTGTGTGAACTTTTTCCTACTATGGGTTTCCACGACTCGAGTCGTGGTCCATAAGGTTTTCGGCACCCATCTCTACTTTCCATCTCCCCACCTCTGTGTGTTCAGAGACAGTGGCCGCAGTTAGCAGCGGTAGCAGAAACTTGCTGACCCGGCATCTCTCTGGGCTAAACCACTGTGGTGTGGTCTTGAATTTTATAGATGAATGGTCCTTTCCTCTCCCAGTCGCCACTCTGACCCAGGTGTGAAATGCCCTATGTAGTAATCATGTTTTTGTTTTCTGTATTTTATGGTATTTTGATGTCTTGAGGACCTAGCTGGCCGGGAGAGACTGTCCCTCTAGGGCTGGCTGATTCCTAACTAGCACATGACCCCCTGGGAGCACACCTTTCACAGGCAAACCGGCCAACCCGCATCCCGTGTCCCCAGCCACCTCCCTCCTCTGACTCACACACCAAACTAAGATGTCCCCATCCTCCAATGACCCAGGGCCGGGCGCCAACGGGACACCTCCCGCTGGAATTATTCAGACTGCCCTACCCCGAGCTGCTGACCCTTCTGCTGACCCTCCTGCCTTGCCTTTCCTATGGAAACCCGCAGTAGAGGCTCACACCCTGCTTCTCCTCGCCTTGCCTCCAGTCTGAAGTTTGCACTCTTCCACGTGGCCCCTTCTCCTGGGGTTTGTACGTAATAAAACTCTTGCTTCAAAGGCAGGAGGTCTGTGTCGTCACCTCCACGGCTGATTACTGGAAAGCCTGGTAGAAGTTACGGTCTCTGGGAGTCACTTTGGCTGCTCTCAGCCCACGCTCTCACCTCTCCTTTCCAACAACTGACAACGCCCTCTTGCCTGTGTTCAATCTTTCACCGCACAAGACGCCCAGGCTGCTTTCTCGTCCTTACTGACGTGTTCCTGCAGATTCACACGGCAGGCCCTATAAGAAGAATTTTCATAGTGATATTAAAAGTCATGGGTGAAGGGAACTGAGTCTTGCTGTAGGGTGGGTGGGGGACATACAAGAGCTCCTTGGAGGAATGCCTGCCTCATCGGGGAACAATAAGGCCAGGCTTCATTGCCTGGGTTAGCCTACAGACACTAAGTGTCTACCTTGAAGTCTTTTTTTTTTTTTTATTTTATTTATCTATTTTAGAGAGAGACAGAGAGAGTGAGAACACGAGCAGGGGGAGGGTCAGAAGGAGGAGAAGCAGGCTCCCTGCTGAGCAGAGAGCCCGATGAGGGGCTCGATCCCAGGACCCGAGCCGAAGGCAGAGGCTTTAACCCACTGAGCCACCCAGATGCTCCCCCACCCTAAAGTCCTTTAAAGGGCTTTTCAGGATGATCCGAGTTTCTTCACGTTCTACAGGACAGGGGGTTGGGTCAGCTGAGGGAGCAAACCCCACAAATCCTGAAGGTATTTGTTCTAGAATCTGTCATTAATTCCGTGGATATTCAGGCCGAGGAGATACTCAAAAGTTTTGGAGATATACACACTGCTGTAATATTCTTTTACGGATCGAAGAAGTTCTGACCATTGCCACTGGCAACCAGAATGGCCCTGGGCCACCTTGGGCTCAGCACAGACCTGAGAAGGGTGAGCCTGAGTCCAGGTTACAAACTCCATGCTCTCCAGCCACCAACTGCCCAGCTGCTCCCTCTGGTGGCCACACAGCCCATGGTCAGTGCCAGGGCCCACACCCTCATCCCAGCTCCGTGGCTCCCTCTCGCCTTAGCAGCTGGGGAGGTGGGTCTTGGGTGAGGTGGCACAGCCTCAGGAGGGGCTGCCGCAGAGTTCCTTCCAGGCTGGGGCGCTGGAGGTTGCAAAACGGGGCTGGGGTTGGCGGTTGTTTCCTGTTGAGGGACAGATAGTAAATGCTCTGGGCTTTGCGGCCACCGTGTCCCGGTGACAACGGCTCCGCTCTGCGGCCGGGGCATGGATGCTGCAGCACGTAATGACCAAGTGTCTGTGCCGACAAAACTTGATTTACAGACGTGGAAACGTGAACCTCGTGTAACCTCTATGTGTCATGAACTGTTGCACTTTTGATTTTTTCCAACCATCTGAAGATGTAAAAAAATCACTTAGAAGTACACTGGACATTTAGGGGGATTCGAGAACTATTTGCTGTTTTAGGTACAATCCTGATATTGTAATACATGCCACAGTGCTTGTCGACGAAAGGGTAGGACCCCTGGAATTTGTGGGGTTGTGGAGGTGTGCGAGGAGAGCGCAGATAGGGGTGGGGCTGTAGCTGTGCAGGGAGGTGTGGGTGGAGGTATGGAGGGCGTAAGGGTGGGTGTGGTTATGCAGGGTGTGGGTGTGGAGGGAGTGTGGGAAGAGTTGTGGGTACGGAGGTTGTGCAGGGGGGTGTGGGTATCCATGGGGGTAGGCGGGGGCAGATGGGTGTGGTGGCAGATACGGGTGCGGGTGTGAGGGGGTGAAGGGAGGTGTGAAGGCTGGTGTGGAGGGGCAGGGGTGCTGGTGTGCCTGTCGGAGAGGGTGTCGGGGGAAGACCAGGCCCACGGGGGATGAGCCACTTAGCTCCATCACAGTACTCTGCCTTCCTTTGCCTCTTCCATGTTTAAATTCTCCATAATAAAGCCTAGACGATAGGGAGATGCAAGATTTTGCCGATTAACCCAGCCTTTGTGAGCTGCCATCACTATTTAACCCGAGAAAGGCTGAAGGCTGTGAGGCCCGGGAGCAGTCCCCTGCAGGCCCGCTGGGGTCCTCCCCGTCTGGTCTGGACACCTGCCCTTCCACACCTCAGGCTGGCCAAGGAACCCGTAGGAGCGTGGCTGTGGACACTGCTGGCCAAGGCCCCGTCTGGAGAGACCTGCAGGCCCCGTGTGGACCCCGCTCTGGAATCAGCTGTGTCTTTGGCAGCTGCGGCTTTCCAGGGCACGACGATGTAAACCACGAAGGGAATAAAGAACGGTCCCGCCATACCTGCTCTGGCAGAAGGCCCTCACGAGTCACAGCGGCTCTGGGCTGTGGCAGAAGGATGGTGGCCATGGCCGGGGACCCCCTTGGGGTGCGAGGCAGATGGACTGTGAGCCTTTCTCATGTGTCCTGATGTGGAATTCAGACTAGATCAGAATTTGTATTTGCCTAATTTTACCAGAAACCGAAACTCCATCAAATCAACAGATTTACAATTTTTCCAGAACAGCGTTAAAAAGATAAGTCATGCTTCATGAAAATGATTGACGGGTAAAAAGACTCTATTCAGGAGAACTGCTAATGTTTGAAGACGAGGACTGTTTTAAAGAATTTAACTAAGATAGTGGATCTGAACATCCGCGCGTCTACTGTTCCACTTTCCTTTCTCTCTCCGTGTCTGTGATGCACCATGTGAGACCGTGAAGCAGCGCCCGGCCTGCACGTCCCTTCGTGGCTCGCACTGAGCTGTACTTCATAGCACCCACGACAGCAGACGCTCCAAGTCCCATGCGTGGCAACTCTCGTTCACCGCTCTGTGGTGCCTTACTGTTCTCTTACATCTTAAGGATCTTAAGAGAGCTTAAGGATCTCTTCATTTACGGGTTGGGCGGGAGACACAGAGGGTCGAGCTCATCAGACTCCTCAGCTCAGGGAATGTCAGTGTAGGACAAGGACAAGAGCAAGGACATTTTCTTCTGCTTAAGCATTTACTGCATTTGTTCTTATCAGCCACTTACATGCCCAATTTCATACATACACAACCACTTTAAAGTGCCTGTTGGGTAACTTCTAATTTATGTGTATGTCCTCTTGTAGATAATTTTGTGTGCACACATTTTACATTGTCATAAACGGTGTTTGATAGCGACATTGCTCTGACCCTTCCCACGGTTTCCCCCAAACACTGCCTGAAGACTCATCCTACTGCGGTGTGTACATCTAGCCTGTCCATAGTCGCCGTGTGAGGAGGTGTTTCTGGCACACAGAGTCTCTCACTTACCTTGGGGGACCCAAGTCACCTCTGATGCCCCACCGTGAAGACTCATGTTTGTTCCTTATGGGCATGAAACTATAAGCCCTTTACCAAGGTTATAATCTTTAGGGTACTGAAACATTTTCTCAACAAAGGTCTCAAGTGTTTTAGTAAGGATTAGGTGGGCACAACCATGGACTCCCCAGCGCACAGTGGTTGGCAACTAGGATTCCCGCTGATGAAGACACAGTACAAGGAGCACCAGGGAGCTCTCACCACCTGCTGATCTGGAATAGGCTGCCTCTGGGGCTCGATTTCTTACTTTTTACTTACACTCTCCTGTTGTGTACAGAGA